CCTGCGATCAGCTTCAGATTGAAGTACTTATGCAACTGAGTCTTGTTGTCAGACAACGAAAACCAAGTCAAATTCTTTTCAGTAATAATAACAAATTTTGCAAAGCTTGCTAGCCTAACGAAAACAAAGCGTTCGACTACAATATGCATTTGTTTACCCGATTCATTGTTTGTTTTCACTTGCAATCGATACGTGAAATAAATAAACTGCTGAAACTCGCGCCGTCAGCAATCAACATTAATGTTTAATCATCTCTTTTATGTCCACCGACCACAATCTCTTTAAACTTATTATAGACCTGCCCACACATGCCACTATGAACTTAATTTTTTAGCCAATAAGCCAGACCACCAACTACAACACAACGCCCAATGAACTCTACTCATCTGCAACAGAGACGACTGCGAAGAGCAGAACACCAACTTGCACATTCACATCATCAACAGCAGAGGAAACCGAACAACGAAACCACATAAATCAATGCCTGAAGAAAGGCTCCAGTTCAGTTCCCAAAACATGCCACAACAGTTTGGCCAAAATGTCTGCCACACACTCACAGAAAAAGGGCACTCAACAGGCAGAAATCTTAAGCATAAAATTCTGGAATTATTCCTTTTAGCTATTAGAAGAATCCGTAACCACTAACTTATTTATAGAAAGGTCGTCTTTTTTTTGTTAGGACCGTTTATAGTAAATCGACTGGTTAAGCTTCTAGCTAACAATTTATTTCTCAGTGCTTCTACTTCTACTGCGACTCGGACTGCCGTTACCGTTCCCCAAGCAGTGACAGAAATTGTAAAATATTTGATTTGTGCTTATTTAATTTGGGGAAATATTCGTGCACGTCGCATTTGCCAAAGGCAGCTCCGGGATGAAACCACACATCCTCCTCCCTGATTGCGATAAGATGGCCTGGCCAAAGGCAAAACCCCTGGCCACTTTGCACCACCCACCTTTATGCAGTGTGGAGATTTCGAGTACTGTGGGCCTACACTTGGACGTCATCATTGACGACTGATGAATTGAGTCAGTGTACGCCGGGAGTGGGGCCAATAAAAGGCGGACGGTGGGTGACTGCACCGCAAGTGGTGCATCATCCTCATGGAGACGGCCATGTTCATGTTCAATTAGTGAAACGGTATTGCACTTTGTTCGTATAAAATGCCTGCGAGTCTAATTAATTACTACACGATGCCAAACCAGCTGCATTTGTGCCGAGCCCGATTGGGTCAGAGTTGAATCCGTGGCTGTCATCTTGCCTAACCTTCGATTTCAATGGCTGCAGAGCACAGCTACATGATTTGACCATGTCCAACGTTTGTTTGGCGCTTGTCAGGCATTATGCACATAGAAAAATAGTAGTCGGATTAGAGTATCCGAATTTTGTACAGGTGATTAGTTCCTGTCTAAAATAATAATAAGCCGCATACCGTTTGAGAGCTTTAAATGTGGATATAAAACCATAAAGGGGGATATATAAAACTAATTCTGCTATGGCTCTGAGTGAAATACAATCTAAGACAGAGAGGAGAGGTCCTACCCAATCGAATTTCTATTTTGGTTAGCGGCATAATATTTGGGATTCAATTTCAGAGAATGGATACAGTACTCGCATCATAATCAGTAGACTGCTGGGGAAACGAAAATTGCAGCTCGGAACCTGCGCTAAATGTGCATGGAAACAGTGGAAAAAGTAGAAAATTGTTGCAGCCCATTTGCATATTGAATTACATTCATTGTTGATGTTGGCGTGCGTTAAGTCCGTGTAGCAACCCCTGCGCTCCGTGCACCCCTTATGTCCCACAATTGACAACCACCCCATCGCAGCATCCTGTCATATCGCATGTGCCTGAATTTCAGCCTGCATGATGGCTGGCAAAGAGTTGTCATTGTCCTACTCGCAACTCCGTTACTTATTTATTTCCAACAAAATTTCTTCTTGCGCTTTTCGCGTATTTTTTACGCTTTTGAGTGACACTGACAATACTGGCAATTGGCAACCGCCACATGCCAGGAAAATGATATAAAATATTCAGTTATGCCAACAAAAGGCATCAAAATTTCCTGGCCGCCCTAGAAAATATGATTCCGCTTGCTAGATATCTATGCAAGTCTTTGTACTTGGTCTTCTCAAAACTTCCTGGCACAATTTGCGATGCAAATCAATTGGCTAAAAATGAAAGAAACTATTGTTAGACTAAGTAGTTTAGATGAGGGCAAGTTTCTAAAGGTACTTGGCAAAATGCAACTAATTTCACAAGGTACAATTAAGAATAAATTCATCATTATTTCTAAGTAGTTTATGAAAACATATAGTCATAGGAGTGACAAGAATAAAAAAAAAATTATGAAATTACGAAATTTTGACTTAGCCAAATATTCTCTTATCAACCTTTTTCACATAGAAACATAGCAGTGAACGAAATTAATATGATCAAGTTTTAGTTCAACTTTCCTAACGTGCTAATCATGGCAATTAGCCAATGCCGAAAATGTTAAAACAATTAAGATTCAATTTGCAAGTTTTTCAAGCTGCTCATTTCCGCCCGAGTTTTCAGCCAGTGACAACTTCAGCTAAAAAGCCAAGAAGCCGCCAGCCAGAACGGGATCAGCCGCATGGTCATGTCCATGTCCATGGCCTGGGCTAAATCCATTTGTCCAAAAAGCATTACAGGGATTTAATTTAAAAGTTTGCTACACTTGGCTGACTGAAACAGCTGCGGGATAAAAGAAGAGCGCGGGGAGGTGGGCAATTAAAGCACATGCAGCAAATGAAAATTTTAACTCAATATAGAAAACGATTCGGTGAATGAGTTGAAGCAAAGTGAATTGGTCTTTGCTCAGCATCCTTTTACCATACTCTGCGTTTCCGAGAAAGTATATTATATTTTCTAATCACGGGCATTTTATTATTATTTCTTTAAGCATCAGGCTTACAACTTGTCACTCAAAACAAATTGAATCCTTCGAGACTGTAGAGTATAGCCCGTCGGCACATAGAGAATATTCTACACATTTTTTAAAGTTGAGGTGCAGCTAGAAAAGAGTCTGCAGCTGATGCAGTATTGCTGCAACTGGGAAAAGTTTGGGGGATAGTGAACATTAATTAGAAGCTGCCACGCTCGGCAGACACGCGTCCAGGTGCCTAAAAAAGTTGCCAACGTGCAACATGTTCCTGGGGAAGGGATCCAAAAAAGTTTTTCGGTTTGTGTTGCATTTGAGTTTGACTTGCAGTTAAAGTTGATTTTTATACACACATTCATACACTGAAAGAAATTATTGACGATAATTAAAAGATGCTAATAATAGTAATAAATGCAAAACATACATTTCCCATTTTCTTTTACAAACTAGTTATTGTATGCGTAACCCAGTAATAATAAACTGTTTATGTTAATTAATTGGTGCGTCTCATTTGGTGTCCACTTTCATTTCTCTCGAAGAACTGCCTCAGAGAGTACCTTTTAATTAAGGCCATGCGTCAGGCACCTTAAGTATCCCAAGAAGGGTAGTTTAAGTTCGGGAGCGGTGTAACCGGTTGCAAAGCGAGTTGCAAGCGGATCGGTGGAAAATGCACTCTGCCAGCCAGCATCATTAGCCGCCTCTAGTTGTTAACTTTTAAGCGCAACATTTAATTTTCGCTAAAAGGCTCTGCTGTAAAGATGGGAACCATACATATAAAGGTGAGAAAAGTAAAATGAGTGCCGAGGGTCCATGGTGGCCAGTTATAAATAACGTAATCTTCACGCACGTAATTCAAATGTGGCGGATGGGCGTGTCTCGGTTGCGTCTCATTTAGCGCACGTAACCAAATAATGACCGAAACGATGCTCCTCGCTGATGGCCAAAGCGGCGTATACATAATGCTGCTGGGGCGGTAGTGGGTGAAATGGGGGAAAGTAAACTGCGTGCGTATTGTAAATAAAATAAAATATAACGTAACGAAGCGAAATGTTTTATCAACGTGCCGGAGCTCACTAAACAGTGACTACACTGATGAAAACCGTGTCGTTCGAATTATACGAATGGGATGTTAATCTTTTATAGCCTTAGTTTTAGCAATCGTAGTTGTATATTTGTAATTAAAAGGACATAAGGGATAAACTACAGTTCGTTACCGAATATTTTGTTCAGTTTGCAGCTCTGTTCCTCTTAAAGTGGGTTTTTGTACCCTGTATCTAAATTCTTCCCAGTGTAGCTGCGTACTCTGCCGCCCCTTGATTTCAACCACTGACGGATGGCCCACTGACCAAAGTGGCGGCTTCGGGCGCTCTACGCTTCTCTGGATGATTCAAGCCTTGTCTCCCCTGCTGATTATCGCTTCTGGTCCATGTGATACTCGTTTTTGTAATTGTTTTGCTTTGTCGTAAATGGAGAGCGAAACAGGAAGATAGATTGCAATTGCTACAGGCCATTACCAGGATGAAATGAGAGGCGGAGGCGCACAAATTTCTTGTCATTAAATTAAAAATAAACGACAATATTTTATGCGCCTATAAATATGCAGCAGAGCACAAAGGGCTTGTCTTGCAAACGGAAAGTGAGCAGCTGTTGTTATTTATTTATGCGATTCCTGGTTGTAGTTACATGTTTTAATGTCTTCTTTATGCAGGCTTCGGCCTGCTGCACAGGTGTCCGGAAAAGGCGGCAAAAGGTTGGTAGTGCCTAAGCCGGACAAGGAAGAATTATATCTGTTGCAAGCTGGAACAGCATTCGAGACGGTCGTAAATTACGACTAGAAATTGGCAGGAAAGGCTTATGAAATTGACATCTCTCATATGCTGGTAAATCAATTTTATATTTTCTAATTTTCTTCATTTACCATACATTTTTCCTGCATTAATATCAAGCTGCAATACAAAATTCAAAATTAAAGTCACCTTGCAGAAATACCTACCAATAAACAGACACTTTTCCATTCCAATTACCTTCCAACGTTCTGTCCTAAAAAAAAATAGAACACAGTATCCAACACATTCCTGGACGAAAATCGAAACAAGTTTTGAAATAAAAATATAAATATATTTCTCAAGGGCTTGCACAGTTCAGTCTTAAGCCTATTCCGTTACCATCAGAACCATCAGCTGCTATCTCGAGTTTGGTGTGCTGAAAAAGCTTCTCCTCCGGCTCTAGTTCTAGCCTCGATTCCTTGGACTCGTTCCACGGCTGTGTTACGGCAGTGCCCCAAACTAGGAAAATCACATTTCCGGCAAACAGAACTCCGGCAGCCAGGCCAAACACCACCTGCCACTGGCTCCGCTGACTGGTGTCCGTTACCAAAACGCCCACCACGAGGGGCGTCAGCAGAGCCATCAGATTGGTGAAGCTGCTCATGAGACCGGCCAGGATCCCGGCGTGGTTTGGTGATAAATCAATTGTATTCAGCTCGCTGCCAATCGTGGCTGCACTGCTCACGCCCACACTGAGAGTTACCAACACAAGGACCAAGGACTTCTGCCCTTCCCCCACAAAAACGAGCGTCAGCATTATGGTGGCCGGTGCCCAGAGAGCAATGCTCGTGTAGGTCTTTCTCAACGCTGTCAAGCTCATCCACTTCTTTCGCAGCAGCACATCTGCAATAATCAGGTAAACATAGCACATCACCCACATGAGTAGAAAGGGAAGGGCCGAGTAGATCGCATTGCTTTTCATATCCAGCTTCAAGACGCCGCTCAAGTAGGTAGGCAACTCGGTTTGCATGGTGGTCAAGCCCCAGCTGTCGGCACAACGAGCGCAGAGCAGGGCGAGGACTGGGACTGAGGTGAAAATGCCCTTCCAGGGGATCTCCATTTTCTTGGGCTCCTTCCTCTCCGACCGCTGGAGATCGCCCACAATATAGGATTTCTCCGCCTCGCCAATGAACCTGGCCTCGCTTGCCTTATTGGCTCCAAGAAGCAGCCAGAGGACACACCAAACCAGACCCAACCCGGCTGCCGAGTAGCTAATGCCCGGCCATCCCAGCGAGGAACTGGCTATCGTCCCTGCGCCGTACATGGCCAGAACGTTGCCGCAATCGAATCCCGTGTAGGCAAACGCTCCCAGACGCGTTCGCTCCGCCGTGGGACACCAGTTAGCCAGATGCTGGTGGATGCAGGGCCATGTCACCTGGCAAAGTCCCTGCAGCAGCCGAATCGCGCAGTACGCCTTCCAGCCGGCTGCATAAACCCCGTAGGTTGTAAGGGCACTGAGCAGGGATGATCCCAGAGTGCCCCAGAACAGGACCGCCTTGGAGCCGAAGCGCTTGCACAGATAGCCCGCGGGGAATTGGGCCAGGGCGCAGCCCCAGTAGTAGCTCGACAGGATGTACGATTTCTTTTCCTCCGACCAATTGTAGTGCTAAAGGGTTGGTGGGAAAACGGGTGAGCTTGGTCTTATTGCTGCCTTTTCGCTTACCCACGGGCGGGTCGCTATCGTTCGATGAGGTCCCATTGGTCATCGCCACCACGGCCACGCTTACGTTAAGTTGGAGGACTGTGTTGGCCGCCAGTCCATAGAAGAGGAGACCGGCCTGCAGGTGTCGCAGCCCCAGTCGTGGTACTATAAAATAAAATAGGATATGTAAAGATGCTGGGAAAGATTTTACCGATCTCACCTTTTTCGGGAACTTCCTCCACGTCAGCCATTTTGTATTTTTAAGTTTCTTCGGTTTTTTGGTTCATAGACAGACTCTGCGAAATAACAAAGGCAAACCACATTTTTAGAGCTTACTTATAAGGTACCAACAGTATAACAAAATTAAATACCATGAAAAAAAAAGAATAGCAAGAAACTCGGACCACAATTCTTGCGCATTGATAAAAGTTATCAAGATAACGAAATAAAACCTAACGAATTGTCTTACAACAATCGTTTTGGTTATGTGTGTGGTGATAAAATAATAATTATTTGTAATTTTAAACAGCTTACTTCATTTATGAAACAATTGTTACCAAAATGATTTAATAGTATGTTTTCTAATGTAAATAAGAATTACGCGCCTCAAATGCCATGAATCATTGTTTTCTGATGCAATAAATGTACTACATTCTCGTAATATTTTTTCGGTACGGTAAACGGTTTAACAAAAACTATATAAAAACATAAACAAAAATAAACAAGTCAATAATTCGCAACTCCAAACTAATTTGTATGTTTTATAAAAAAACAGTAATAAGTTTTTTTAAAATAATATGTTTAGCTTTTGTTAAATGTAATCTTGAAAACCTATTAAATACAACCATTTGAAAACTTGGACCCAAAATCACAAATGATATAGTTATCCGTTTGAAAATCATACATATAATCAGATTGATGGAAAGGCAACCAACAAAACTTAGGAGATGTTCGCTTTCGAATCTGGCAAAACTCCACATTTGACCAAATGCAATTGCAGAGGAGCTACCGATGTGGATACTGTTGCACTTTGTCTGAGCAAACACACACACCCCTCACAGCCCTCGGCCGGATATTGCTTCCATGAAATTCCCTTGTTTGTTATTTTAGATATTTTTCGGGTTTGTTATTTTTCCGATTTTTTGCTGTCTGCATTCCTCTTGTTTGGCAATCTGCCTGAGCTCGAGTCTCGTTCTCAGTTAGTGTGCAAATTTCCCCGATAATACGCAACCAAAAAAACACATACTATACATACGTAAAAAAATAAAACGGGGAAAAACAGAATTTAAATCTCAGCATTTACAATTGTATCAGCGCAGCTAACAAGATACTTTTCAGTGCCACCCAGATACACCCGCACACTCTTTTTCAATTGTTCTAATAGTTGGCAACGTGTGGACGACTGCCAATCGTCGAAAGTTGGGTGGTTGGCTGGCTGTAGGCGGTGGGTGGTGGTGCCGTCCACCTATAATGCCTCCCAAAATAAAAACAGTGACATAGTTGTGGACTAGTGCAGGTGTGTCGAACTCCGGATGTCCTATTCTACAACAGATAAATCATTAAAATTCCCAATTGTATTTCATTGGATATTTTCAAACTAGGTTCAACATTAATTTCTAGAATCCAAAATATGTGTATTAAGTTAAAAATATTTTTGTTTATCTTGCAATTTAATTTGACTTTCTTTATAATTGATGACCATTTCAATTCGTCTCAGTGACTGTTAAAAACACAGATACAGCGGGCTTTAGTGACATACTTAGGAACATGAAATAAAAACGAAATGATTCCGTAATCTACTTTAGTTTTATAGGAATGCACACGTATGTAAAACGTAGGGAATAACTCGCAGTTTAAATCATCTTATTTATAAATCAAGAACACAACCTACATTATATCGACAGAGTTTATATTTGGCTCCAAACGTGGTTTTCCGTCAGGGAAAACAAAAAACGACAAAAACATTAAGCCTATTTTCTATTCACTCCGAAAAATCTACTGAAGACAATGGTTTTATATTCTAATTTTAAATGTATACATGTACATAAATACTATTTATATGTGTTTAAATCGACGGGTTCAGAGACGGCGTGGAAAAATGTAAAAATAATCTTGACCTGCTTACCACTTCAGATATTTCTGTCTTATACAAACGTTCACTGACAAGTTTATTATCAATGCCACTGCCTAGTGATAAAATAAAAAAATTGAAAATAATTTTTTTCATTTGGACTAGAATGTGCCATTAAATTCACAAGGTAATTTTCTATATTTGAAAATGGCTTTGAATAAAAGTTGAAATTTATATAATCAAGTACGTTAAAAGCTTACATTTTTAAAACATCTTACAACTGATCAAAGTTCATCAAACTATAGTAAAAGCTACAGACACGTGTGCAGTAAAACAGATTTTCTATGCCAGGCCCGCCGGTGTTTTAGTAAGCATATCTTGTTTATACGCCAGATAAACAAGAATACGATATTCCCTTCAATGTGGTGTGTAACGGGTACGAAGAAAAAACAATCAATTCAATGCGTTTGGTGTCCTTGTGTGCGTATTTAGATTCGATTGTGTGTGTTTGTGTGGCATATTCTTTCGGGCCCATTCTGCAAATATTTGCTCACTCGAATGTTTTGTGAGCATTTTTGCCAACATTTTGCAAATTACTTAAAGCCTGACAACCTTCACCCCCTTCGGCCGGTAGAATTTTCTTTGGGTCGCCTGCTCTCATTTTGCCTGAATTTATCAAAAACAAATCTGCACACACTTCACATTTTATTGACGTATTTCTTTCATTTTAAGTCAAGCAAATATGCAACAATTCGTTTGCGGGCATTCCTACGACGTCCGACCACATTGTTGCACCCGCCATAAATAAATTGCGATTCACTTGCTAACCGAACCTTTTTATTGTTGTGTACTTTGGTTTTCCTATTAATATCTGATTTTAATTGGGTTTTGTTTTGCTATGTTGTCCGACCCGTTTTCCGCGTGCCGCGTGCTGTTTGCGCCTTTGTTTCGATTTCCGCTTCTATTCGATTCTGAACTGCGCGATCGCGGGGTACTGAGCTCCAACGCCGAACTGCTCCCGCTGGCGATTGGCGCTCGCTCATTTGGGGCGACTGCTTTTGTAATTGCCCGACGCCAGGCCGGCAGAGTGAGAGCTGTCGCGTTTGGAAAGAGCGCCCGTCGAGCTCTTTTGCGGCAGGCAACAACACTTTCGTTCTTGCTCCAAAATATTAGAGACTAGTCTCTAGAAATTAAACGCACTGATTACCTGAGAATAGGTCCGTAAGTATGCTAAGCTAATTTTTCCTACTGTACCTGTGCGACAAAAAATACCTTTGACTATTTTCACACTTTCAAACTTGGAGTTTTTACTGTCTGGAACATTTATACAATGATTGAAATCTGACAAGTAGGAGATCGGACAAAGTGGGGCTATTAACCTAGCCATTCTAAAAATTGCAGTGTTGTTAGTCATCATTTCTGTACGTTTTTTGGCGTTATTAATTCGAGCTGGGTGTCTCAAGCATTTCCTTATCTTAATGGAATATGTTTACTATTGGATTTCTACCGCTCGTTAAATTGTTGGCATGTGGCTGAAGACTTTTATACAATTCTGAACAATTGATAAATAAATATCAATAATGCGTAGACCTTTAGTTTGCTTCCTTTTTATATTTTTGTTTTGAATTTTCAATAAAAAATTAAAGATCAAATTAAAAAATATATATAAAATAAATTATATTTTTATAAATCTAGTTCAAGAAGTCGTTAGTTTTTTGTTGGAACTTAAAAGAGACTTGACGTCGGAAATCAAGAAAATGGTTCGAGTCTCGGCTGAAAAGAGTGATCGTGATTGCGATCTCAACTAGCTTAAAGTAACGTCACGTACTATCAGCCAACGTAAGAGCCACGTAAGTGCCAACGTAAGAGGGAGACAATCAGTAAGACCAGTCCGAGGTCGTTGGAAAATGCTCTGGCCGTTCGTGACCAGAAAACGACGGTAATATTGATCGCGGATGCCGCGGTCACACTGGGCGAGTTAAAACTGATCGTAGCGGTAAATCAAGTGCAGGCAGAAAGGCAGAAAGTGAATTCAACAAAACACCACCGATCGACAGTTTTGCACTCGCGTGAGGAAAATAAGCGAATTAACCAAAGTGTCGTCTTGTGTGCGCGGATATCACCGGCGAATAAAGGCTAAAGCGAGGTGCGCGAACAAAGCTCTTGCCGCCAAACGCGCAGCTGACGAATCGTGGGAACAAACGTGCGCAGTAATAACATTGTAGTAGTCGGATTTGCGTTTCCAGTCACTGGAATCGGAAGCGTCGGCCAGTTCCAAGTTGACAGTTACTACTCCCTTTTGTGCATTGTTTCGGTCCCGTTCCGTTTGTTTTAGCTTTTCGAGTCCTTCCCTGTTCCTTCGCCGTGTGCTGCGCGTCGCCTTCGTCTTTTCTGTTCCTTGTCGGTGCGTTGGAGCAGCCCCAACAGCGAGAAGGGATTCCGAAAACAACAGCAAAGCAAGATCACGCGGACCCTCGGTGCTTAGTGGTCTTCCAGTTGCACTGGAATTCGCGCAGTGGTTGTGAAACAGTCAAATTGCTTATTGTCAGAAATTGGTTTAAATATCCGCAGTGCCCCGAAATGCCATGGGATTGCTCTAGTTAACTACCGAAAGAGTTCCACACAAATGTGATAAGCAATTATTGCAGTAAAAGTGGCACAATTCTTAGAAAGTACACAGAAAAGCATATAAAATCGTGTTGTTGAATACCACAAGATCCATAACGATTAAAGAATTCAATAAATCAGAGAGGCAGTAATTGCTGCATTTAAATGTAAAAGTAGAATTTTAATTGCTTTTACACTTTCTGGGATTTCCACAAACAGCTGCCACTGCAATTTTTAATAAATAACAAACCGAAAATAAGAAAAAACACACCATTGCGTGGCGATCACAAGTGCTTAAAATCGGTACAGCCCGGATTTTAATTTGCGTTGATTTTCCAGTGATTGCATATTTTGTGTTGCCAAGCCCTCGTATTTTCCAAGCCGTGTCTAAATTATCAAAGTGTACGAAAGAAACATAATCTGAATTAAGTTTTACCAAATAACGAATCCCACTTTGGACTACAAATTGAACGGATAACAACAATAAAGACAAGAGAGCAAGTTGCTGCATCCCGCTCACTGATTTGTAAGTCCCTCTCACTCTCGCCTGCATACTTCGTATTTACCTATAATTTTAACCATCTTTGTTTTAATACATTTTTACCATTATTGCTTTACACTCTGGTCTGCCTGTTTCCGAACTCGTGCACCCTGCTCTTTTTACCTGCAGCCCACGCACTCTATAATCCCCCTCTCCCTCAATTTCGCTGTCTCTGTCTCGTACTCATTGTCCGTGATTGCGCATTGTTGCCCTACAGTCTTCGACTACCTCAACGAAAATCAGTATTAGCCTTTTTTACCAAGTCAAGAAGTTTTCTGGCTTAGGTTAAGTCAAATGGGTAATGTACTTCCTCAGTCTGATTGATTTCTTGGTTCACTTTAGTGTGTACCTACATTCGACTTGTTTATGTTTTCCTATTGTGAAGTTCCGATTTATCCCATCCGATCATCTTAACCAGAGTGTTGTTTTTCGTATCCACCCTTTTCGCCACCCTTTGTTCCGTCCGTACGACCTTTTCAATTGCAACGCTATTCGTTTTCATTTGCTCAACTCTGATTATCCATCGCTACCTCTTTTGCATAATTTCGCTGACTCATTGGCATGCTCAACGTAATTTTCATAATTTTTGGAACGGCGATCCTCTTTTCCCCTGCCCCGCTATTCGGGTCCGCTTTGCTTCGCTGTGGTTTTGTGGTTTTGACCACATATTCGTACACCTTACTTTGACTGTCCCATGTAGGTTTTCATTTCGTTGACAGTTCGCCTGCGGGTGGGGTTTGGTTCCTATGGTCAACTAGGAACAGAGAACGAAGCTGTGTGTTTGGTTTTATTTCCCTCGCGGGTGCTAATGAATACACCGTATGCGTATTTTTGGCTTGAAAGAGGAATGATTTATAAAAATATTGAAATAGAGTAGCTTCTCTACGTAAACACGTTAAAATAGTTAACATTTTTAACATATTGGCGGATCAAATAAATTTGTATTATTTTAATCATTCTAATGGGAAAGGGATATTGCATTTGTATCATCCAAAGTATAGTTTTGGCAAAGATCTTGTGAAAATGCGTTCCGCTAATTAGCTTTTAGGATCGAGTATTGTTCGTTGTTCAACCTACACACTTGCACTCAAACAGCAGTCTCTGCGAGTCGTGTTAATTTTGAAATAAAAGTTCGGGCGAGCATGCACATGGATCCAGTAACCAGTGTCGTACAACTAGCGCCGTTATTTTAGACACAAACGACTCATTTAAAAAGTGTTTGGGAGGAGGCGGGAGGGAAGTGCTGGGTGACGCGACGCCAAGTCGAGCGTAATTTGCAAACAAAAAGCCATTAAAATATCAAATTAGCGTCTGGCTTTGGCTCCGAGTGCGGGATTTAGTGGAAGTCTCCAATTGTCGTCGACGCCAGTTTTCCCCTGGCACGCCCACTCTTCCGCCTTCCTCCTCCGAGAACCACCGCCCTCCTCCCCCTTACATTTGTTTGTCCCTCCCATCGCATTGTGCAAAATCGAAAGTAAATGAAATGTAGCACCCGCATGTGCTGCGTGCAGTCATCAATTTGTTGATTAACAGTTGTCAGTCCTGTACTCACCGCCCAATCGACTCCCCCCTCTTGCCGCCTTCTTAAGTTGTTCCCACTCCGATAAATGTCTCGTGTGTTTAAAGCACTGAGAGAAATTATCTTAAAAAATTGGACTGTCAATGAGGAATTCGATTTAATGGGAACAGTACGAGTAATACCAAAGGTATTGTGGAAAAACTTCGATAAACCGTAGTCAGGTGGTTCTATAACGACAACTTCATTAAAGCCAAACTCGGATGAATGTATTGTCAAATAAAAATTGCTCTCAAATATTCTTTGTGTTCATAGTTATCAACCGTTTGTTAGTTTCGCTTATCAGTCATTAGGAGAAATTGTTTCTTGCCCACCGCAAAAGTCTCGTTTGCTGTTTCTAGATAACAGAATTTACACGCCGCATTAAAATCCATTTGTTTCACTGCCAAGGCTGAATGCGTGCCGCAATAAAAGCCCATTAAATACAAAACAGAACCGAAAGCTGAAACACGTTTTACCTGTTCTGCAATCCAAACTGAGTCACTGGGTTGAAAGAACTTCGCTGGGGATGAAGCGAGTACAAAATGGTTATTTGAAAAATACAAAAAATCCAAAACAGCAGCAATCAAATCATCAAGGGAAAATTTATGACGGTCACACCGACCCCTTGCAAACTGCGCCGAGAATAAAGCCGGACTGGAACCTATCTCGATCAATGGATCACATCGTTCTGGCAGACAGAGACGTCTCCCTGCTCCATTTTTGGACAAGCTGTCGTCTCCCTTTCGCACATGCGAAAAGTTCTGGGGCCACGCTTGCGCGTTTTGCCTTGGGTTTCGATTCATTTTCTGTCTTTGGGTTGTGTTGTTGTACGCGTACCCTTCCCTACTTGTATTTATACCCAAACGCGTTTCATAAATTATCAAGTTGAATGCCCAGTTTCGAAATTTCAACGCGTCTGACCTTGAGCACAAATTTTCGGAGCTTCGGGCCTCGCTCTCGTGTTTTTAAGTGTTTGCGATTGTATCTGCACTCATATGGTTTTAATACCCGGTTTTGGATGAGGGTATACTGAACTGTTGAAAGAGCTAGCCAATTGGCCCCAAATATTAAAACTAGTCACAGCAGTTCAGTTCTTAGGGTGAGTGGTTTAAAAGTAATCAGCTGCTAGCCACATTTGAATATAAACATAAAATAAAACTTAATGGCAAATTAAATGGCGTCATGTATTTAAAAGAAATCAATTTGTAGTAGATTTGGATTTATGGGGTATCTAAAAGTCCGAAGATTTAAGATCTTGTATTTGTGAGTTGACTTGTGTTATTTGTGGGCTCTTTGATTGCTTTGAGTTAAGTTCTCTGGTAGTTTCTCCGTTTGTGT